AGTTGAGGAGACCAAGGCTGGTCACCTGGTCACAGCAGCACACCTAGTAAGTGGCAGATGTGCAACTGAAAGTCAGGCCACCAACTCCAGCACCCGAACTTGAAATCATTTGACTCAGCTTTCTCCTAAAGGAAACATGAAAGCATGTAGCAAGCAGACAAATGGCACTGGCATACTCTCCCGTGAACTCAGCCCACACCTGTGCTATCAGGTCGCGTCCTGTGCGTGGGGACCCTGCAGGTCGGAGTAGAGCTGCCCAATAGGGATTTCTGAACGTGGCTCCCTCCTACATTCCAAACAGGGCTGTACGCTGGGCTCTTATCAGGAAATCCAGCCCATATGAACAGAGGTACTCTTGATTGCTATTAGACCGCATCCCACGTTTACTGCGGGACAGATGGTTTGTGACAGATGGTTTAAAAAGGGACTTGAAGGTCATCAGGGTTTGGAGGGAAAGGTGAGTAAATGGGGGAGCTGGGCAAGGTCCCCAGGAAGCTGGAATCTAACAAGAGAAAGCCAGCTATGCTAAGGTGTCCAGTGAACGCCAACAACAAGTAAATCGCTAACTAAAAATCCAAAGACAAACTTCTACGTCTCTATACTTTTTATTAAAAGCAGTTTGTTTTGATAATTTTGTGAGGACACCTAGTGAGAAATCCCTTTGCACATACCTGCTGCTGAAACCGAACCATAGCCATCAGCTGTTGTGCTCCAGGCGATAACTTTGAGCCCACAGACTCCACGATGCTCTGAACCCTGTCCAGGTTGATCCTCGCTCCCAGGGAGGGGCCGCCCGTCGGAGTGCTTGTTGGCACCGGCCTCATGTGTACCACAACTTTACTGAGGGACACACAGTGCTTTTCGCCAAAAGAGAGAAGCTGCCGACAAAACAAACAGTTCTTGAAAGTAAGTCATGCTCCTCCACAATCCATATCATTTAAGGCCACTTCTTTACATGAAGTAAACAAGAGGGAAGGGTCAGGAAAACACAGATACATTTTACATAGGATTTCACTTTGAAGTGCTCCCTAGAACACCGATCGTCAAAACTTCCAACTCATCAGGAAGCCCAGAGGAGCTGTTTCAAATACAGCACCATTTCAAGCCACAAAAAGACACACAAGCACAACACACCAAAAGGGAAGAAAAAGGGCAGTGGTGGTGGTGGTTAAAAATAAAACTTTACTTCTTTGAGGAATCAAAAATAAGCTATACCAAAATGGGACCATAACACATGGCAAAGTGTTACAATGACATTTAATAGAAAATAAGGCCACCCCGTTACTGCCATAGAGCCAGCAGCTGTCTTGCCACATTTAGAAGTGACACGGTACGCTGATGATGGAGGACCAAGGGCTGGCTCACGCACCGAAGCCATGAAGTGGGGTGACTTTCTAACCTGCACCATTTACTCAACTTGTGAAACCGGGTTTGGAGCCGCGCTCATCCACCTTGGATCCCAGCAGCCTTCCTAGTGCGCCCCACTGCCCCGTCTCAGCGCGCCCGCACCAAAAGGCGTCTTCTCACACTTGCGATGGAGTGCAAGGGCAAGACCGGGGTCAAAACACGGCTCTGCTGCTCAAGGCCTTCGAGACCCTGCATGAATGCCCCAGAGACGGGGTCCTGAGTCGGGAGCACCACCAGTGAGATGATACCGGTGACTCCCCGGGGGAGGCTGGGGAAGTGCTCAAACATGCACCAGCCATCACGGCTCCTTCATGTCTTCCCGCTCCTGGTTGCCCCAAACAAGCCTCTGTCCGGAAGGGGCACAGCCCTTGGCTCTCTCACACACAGACCTGTGTGTCCGGCAGGCAGACGCAGGCTCGGCCGCCCAGACCCATGACCAAGGAACCCCGTCAGCGGCACCAAGGGTGAGAGCGTCCTCAAAGCTGACCGCTTCCACCAGATGTGTGATTGACCAGCACATCCACATGTTATTTGCTGAGTCTGTTTATTATCCGTCCCCCTGACAGCAATATAAACAGCACCAGGGCAGATATTCCCATTTAATTTATTCCTGATGACTCACTAATGCCTCGTAGAGTTTCTGGCAGGCATATACTGGGCTAGGAAATATATGCTCAACGAATGGACCAATTGAATCACTTTACTATTGGTATATAGTTCTTAAAACAACATCTTAGGATAATCAGCTCTCTAAGCCTACAGCTTGCATGCTTTGAAAAATCACTTTTTCCTTCCCCTCCTTTTAAGAAGTCTCATTTTAATTCTCAATGGAGGGGCGGTAGTAGACACAGAATTTTATGGATGAAAAAGAATCCAAAGATTTACTTTCTTCAGCCTCTTACCTAGTGGTACCAGCATGTCGGTCCAAACAGGTGAAGAGATTTAGCCACCCCACTCAGCTAATCAGCAATGGAGTTGAATTCCTATTCAGAGCTATGGTTTTCAGCTCAGCACTTTTCCTTGAGCCCTGCTGGCGTGGAGGGCTATGTACTGGACTGCTAACAAGGTTAGCAGTTTGAAACCACCAGCTGTCTGTCGGAGAAAGATGAGGCTTTCTACGCCTGCACATAGCTAGCCTCAGAGCACACAGGGGAGTTCTACTCGGTCCTCAGGGTCTCTGTGCGTGGCACTGACTCGATGGCAGTTGAGTTTGGAGACGTTTTCTTGAGTGGCGACCTCACCTTTTTTTGGGGTTGGTTTCAGGGTCAAGACCCCAGCTGGGATGTCTTTATCTCCAGCTCTAACTGCTCGCTGCTCTAGCTTTGACATGTGGCCCAGCATGGCTCATGCTGGTCTTGCAGCCACAATGTCACATCCAAGAGCAACAATGTATCTTCTTACATGGTGTCCCGGGGCTTCCGCAGGGTGTGATGTAACATTCCCTCAAGTCAAGTGTTAAGGCTTCAAGCATCATTTACATATGATAAAAAAAAAAATATATATATATATATTTATATTCCCTCCCCCCAAGTAAGTTATTTCTGAACTAAAACGAGGAACCAACTTGAACATTACCGAACCACGGGCAAGCCCGTGTACGAGGGGGTTTCAAAGCTGGTGGGAAAACGGAAGGAAAAGACAATGGACTATCTAAACCCACACACTTTGTGAGGGCCCCTCCTCTGTGATGCAAAACCAGTGGCCATTGTCAAGTCGGGTACCTGTTAGTGACAACTCACCTTTACTTTGCAGGCAAGTGTGGGGGGTTCCAACTGTAAATATTTTTTGTACAAAATAATCTTCTCCGGATCACTAAACAGAAAATGGAATCAAAATGATAAAAAAAAACAACAACAAACTTTGTACATGATCTTAAAATAGAGATGTTAGAAAGATGGGGCTTTCTACTCCTGCAGAGAGTTACAGTCTCAGAAACCCACAGGACAGTCCTGCCTCACACCCTGTCTGAAAGGGTTGCTGTGGGCCGGAACTGACTTGATGGGGCGAGGGAGGGAGGGCAACACTTCAGTCCTGAGGTAGTCTGCCTGGTAACACAGAGGGAGGTTCCCAACGCACGTGACCTGGCCACAGACATGCTTTCTACCCATCAGAGACCGAAATGAGATAATCCATGTACAATCACATAGCTCAGGTCATATCGGAAAGCTTAATAAACGTAGCGATAATTTCCAATATGCACAATACATAAAACAGTTCCTATTTGGGTGTCTCTGTAAGGAGAGTTTGGGGTAGAACCTTCCTAAAATTGGGGCCAGAGTGACGCTGCTATTAGCACAGGCTGAGTTAAGGACTGACCAGGCTACCATGGAACAGGCTTCGAATCACGGGCCACTTTTAATGGGCTTCCGACAAACCTATGCATGAGCTCCAGATTGAATGACAAGTCAACCCTGTAGAAACCCAGCCACGGGAGTTAATGCCAACGAGCAGCAATCGGGCCTGCACAATGTTTAGGCACTAACGAGCTCTGAGCCTCTACTAATTCACCTCCCCTCTTAATAGCTAGAAGTTTACAAGGTGATCAAAAGCAACTGGTCTTAACCCTATAACGTCGAGCGTGCTGTTTTCGTAACATTTAATCAAATGTATATATTAATATACATTGATAACTATGAAAGTAAAGAATAAAACCAAAAATTTTTTCCCCTGAAATTAAAAATTCAGGCGTTACAGGGTTAAAGCAACAGTCTTTAAGATCCCTCACCTTCTAAAGTCCTGTGCCTGCTGGTCTAGCTTTCTCTTCTCTCCCCTAAAATCTGCCCTCAACGCCAGAGAAACAAGATGTACATCTGCAGGTATGACGTCACGCACCTGGGCTCCAGGACCGTGCAAGCACGCCTGCCCCTGCTGGTCCCACAGTACTCCTCTCCTAGGTACACTTCCATGTTTCTTGCGGAACTTAAAATGCCCACGGAAGCAATTTCTTCACCTCCATTAGGGTCACAGGCCAGGTAAAGGAAGCAGGGGTTTTCTTCGGGGTTGTTCAGGCTCCTCTTCAGTATCACTAGATCCTTGCTGAAAAGAAAAAAACAAAATTAATATTACACAGTATCCTTCTGAGAGCACTGCTCCTGACCCACCTATTAGGCCATAACCCCACTGCTCTTCTGAAGACTTGGGCCAGAGCTGCCTCTTAGGATTTCCAAGGCTGAGCATCTCTACAGAGGCAGACACAACATCTTTCTGCAGACTGCATCCTAGGAGTGTGGGGGGCAGGGGGTGTCTTGGTGCTGGGGCTGTTAAGTTCGAAATGCTATTTTTAGATTACCAGCTAAGTGCTCAACTAGTGCCTAGCTGGGCTCCCTGTTATGCCACCTTGTTGTCGCGTGCCATTAAAGTCAGCTCCAGTGCACAGCAGCCCTGCGCCTCCTTGTGAGGACGGAGCCAGTGGGTGCAGTCAGTGTCACGTGACCTCACTGGGGGTCTCCTTGTTGCTGGCCCTATACTTAACCATCATGCGTCTTTCCCAGAGATTGATCCTTGTTGATAGCATGTCCAAAGTACCTGAGACCAGTTTCGCCAACTGAGCATCCAGATGTACTTCTTGCTACCTTAAGGCTAACCTCGGTACCTTTGATTTGAGGTCCACGCACCTTGTCAAACACCCGACCGATGCTTAGGATGGAACTCCTACGGAAATCGGTGCTTCAGACCTCACAGCGTAGTCCCTGATGCTCTAATCAATCCCTTGTGTTCACTTCCCACTAAGCAAATTAACTGGAGACCAAGGATGGGCAAAAAGTCAGAGGGGGTGGAGGGCAGAATGGCTTATCTTTTTCAAAATGTCGTCGATAAGGACTCTATACAGTTGCACTTGGACATGGGGTGCGGATCGGTTTAGATCAATATCTACACAGATGTACATCTGCAGGTATTGTTTTCGTGGCTGCAACCTTTTGGGCAAGCGCTCAGCTGCACACTGAAAAAGGTTGGAAGTTCGAACTCGCCAGCCACTCCGCGGGTGACAGTGGAGGCAGCCGGTTTCCCTCAAGATTACAGCCTCAGGCCGTGAAGTTCTCCATCCAAGAATATCCCTGAGTCAGACGGCAGTTGCACCTTGGGGTAGCATCTCCCCAAGGCTTTCTTCACAGGCAGCTCTGGCTGCTTTTATTTATCTCTGGATGGGGTAAGGTGTCCAATTTCGATTTTGACAAAGGGCCTGATGGTCATGGTTAACATCCTCCCCACCCCACCTCCCAGTAACCTCACCTCCTTACTCATAGGGTTTCTAAGGCCGGAAGTCTTTACAGGGGCAGATAGACTC